ACTGCCGGGCATTTAGGAAATTGAAGACCGTGCCCGGCTGCCGGGCATATAGCCACAGCGTATTTCGTATGCATGTATAATAACGTAGTTTTCGTTGAGATTGCTATTCATTCGTCTTCCTTCCTTGCCGGTCTCATGTCCGCTCCTTGCTTCGCTATTTTACCTACCCGCTAACCCCTTGCCCCGCTCCGTTTTTCCTGCACCCTCTCCACCCCTCTCTTGTTCCCCGTTCACCGTTTCATACGCATCCATTCATATGGTATGGCCCGCTACTCGTTTTCCCCCAAAACGCAAAAGATCCTCTCATTACCTCTCCTCTCTTATCCGACACCAATATAGACTGCACTGTTGACCCTACATCTTCCGACGATGAAGAAATCTCATTTCCTTTCTAAATTCTACGTTCATAATGACACACCTACAAAGACCAAGGCCAAGTAATGAAATTGAATACCACTACCAGATGGACACAGCAACGCCGTGATACAGTCTGTATGGTCATGACATTAGAGCTGAAGCCTGAAGGGGTCGTTGTCGTATCAGGTACTACAGTACAGATATACAGAGCCGTACATATAGACTATAGAGTATAGTATACACAAAGTGTACAGTACCAGACTTGTACTACAGAAGTGTGCCCTAACCCTAACCCTAACACTAACCCTAAACATACCTCATATAAAAATATAAACATAATACTGAACAACCTAAAACTACATCGGGTACATATGATATCCTGATACGACAACGACCCCATCTGCGTCATTAGCGACAACAGAACTTCAACTTGGTCTTTACAACATGATCATCACCTTTGGTGCATAAAACAGTAATTCGTTTTTGTAATAAGTATACACACATTACTTACAAATGTCATCCAAAACTCGCTGTGATATGCTGTAAACGAACTACACGGGAGCCAACGTTCACCAAAATATGTTGACCATTCAATATAGTTCAGCACAGTGAGAGTTTACGCCATACGGACCTTTCGATCGCAAATTTTTGGTGAATTTAGCGCCACTTGTTCTTAGCGGTGGCGCTGGTGTTAAGAGCAACACAAATCATGGCTGCGCCCATTCGTAAATATATAACATGCTGGCAGTTTCAGCATTGTCAAAAGTCATCTCATTCGTTTAGCTTGTTTACTGCCTTCCGTCGTCTGCATTTATCAACCAGAAGATGTACTTTAAGTGCGTGTGTTAAAAATCTAGACTACGTATATGTCAAACAAAGTAATTTTTAATTAAGTTAGCAGTAGCACTCTCACACCCTCTCACTCAGACACTCTGTCAATCAATGACAATGGACTGGTCATCAGTGAGCATCATCATGTAGCCCGACCAGGCTGTGCGACGGATTGTCTATACAGCCTGACACCCTTCCATACAAAAAACCTATCACCTCTGCAGATCTAGATGAATACTCTGTATATCTCAAAATAAAAACTATTCTATTACCGACCTTGACTTGCCTTGTTTGACAATATTGAACGTTAACTCACAGTTGCCACTGTCGCTGCTTCTAAACCAGATGAGACCGGGATACGTAGAGAATGCGTTGCCGAATAGAGATTTGGATCCGAAGCGCTCAAGCCGCAGATCTTTCGCGGCAGTTCCGCGGCAAGGCGCACGCGACCGGCGCGAACGTCCTACGCAGTATGGCAGCGCTGGCAGCTATGATCCTGCGCCGAAGTGAATTGAGGCGCGGCACGGATCATAGCTGCCGATTGCGGAACGGGTCCGGATTTGTTAGTGGGGAGACAACGAGAGGGTAGACTTGTGGGACGGTGAACAGTGTTCACTGTGTATAAAAACTGTAACGCGAGTAATCTTTCTGTAACCGACTGTGTCACCGGCGAGAATCAACAGAAAGACTGTCGAAATTCTGACATTCGCGAACCCTTGCCAGCTAATGGAAATGCTGCTCAGAATCAGGAAAACACCTACGCGCAGCTCTTCGCGCCCTCACACGCTGGCAACGTTTTGCACGTTGCCAATGCGCGAGGCTCGTACGGGAGTTGGAAGCAGTGCGCCGCCTCCCGCCGCCTATAGCCCAGTAGACTGCGCATCTCTCGGCACCTCTCGCTTAGCTTAAGTCACTCGAATGGCTAATCGAGGTGGGAGCGAGTCCTGAGTCTATATATAGCCTTGCACTCGCAACCTTCTTGAAAGAGAGAGTAGGCCTATACTAGAACATTAACATATTCGTAGTAAATATATTTCGGAAATTTAGTTAGCATTATATTTCATTGAAACGTTCAAGGGCCTGTGTTCTAGTATTAGCCTAGGGTATTGTTCTAACGCCTACGCAAAGAGCGTTTCTTGGCTAGCGCATGTAGTCTATGTAGTACTAGTTGTTCAAGATAGAGAACGATGGCTCCCAATATTATAGTGGGCCCCAATGTTATGGCAATGGCAATAAAACCAGTGTCATTTACATCAATATAAATATAATATTTACAATCATAATAGATAGGTTAGGCGTTACGGTTAGTTCGTCATTATTAGTAGGTTAATACTAGTACTAGAGTTAGTCATTATTACTATTACTATTAGCTCCGGCGTGTCCTGGTAGTTACTAGTACTAGCACTAGTAGTGCTGGTAACTTAGCTAGTTACTTAGCTCAACTAGTAGCTAGTAGTAGTAGCTTGTAGCTAGTAATTAATTGTAACATGTTAACTTGTAGTAATACAAGCTATTCGTAGCCGCTAGGTTGTAGGAATGTTAATACCAGTCTCATTATGTGCGCGCTAGTGCAATTGGTGCAGTCTAAACAAAGCTTAGTCATCAGGGTGCGCTGTAGCAGTGGGGCTGATCTTGCTGCAGTGGCGGCGTACGATGGATAATCGTAGCCAATTATCAGTGTAAAACAACCATAAATTCAGTGCAGGAATGCCCGCTCTAAAATGGCCTGCGAGAATTAACTGGACGTCACGATTCCAGATAGCACTGTACGGACGCTTAATTCGCGGGCAAGTCTCTTTCGCCTAACACTAAGTTATAGTTAGCGGAGCGTGTCAAACTCTGCCACCGCGGGCAGTCTAAAGAAAATATTCTTTTGCAAAATGACTTGAACAGAGACTCGTTGCGCCATCTACTGGTCGCGATAACTTCCAAAGTTAATGTCAGGGCATGATCCAAGCGAAAAGGGAAAATTATTTTTCTTACACTAAAACGACGCGCGCAGCAACAAGCAAGAGTAGGCAATTACGAGCATTTGATTTATTCTCGCCTACGTGCAGATAGTCGAAAAGCTTCTGCGAAGGCGGCAGATACTGCTCAATTGGACCGATCAGAGGCGAGTGTGACAGAACGCTTTAAAGTGATATTGACAGGAGCAGCGAATATCGTTCAAGAAGCGCGCACAGCGCTTCGCGCGGGGATTCCGGGCTGCAGACTGTCTTAGAGATGTATCTCGCTTAATTCACGCGTGATATCTGCTAGATTCTCACAGCATATCGAACTTTAGCATCAGCTTACCTGCGCATGTTTACACTGCACATGAGTTAATGGAAGAGAGACACACAAAAAACCCGAACGGAAAAGACTCGCTAGACAATACTACAGAAAGAGTACGAATAGCTGCGAACGATGGCGCTCCACAGGCAATTACACACCAAAGCAAGGTGAAACGATGTTTACAAAATGCACCAGAACCTAGATGACATGTTCTCTGATGCTAGGGTGCGTTTGCAATGCAGGGACCGCAGATCGTTTAATTTCCTGTTGTTCGATCTATTGCGGATTTTAGTCACAGTCGGAATGAAGCAACATGGTTGCAAATATAAATTTTTGGTTGTTATTCGTTCTCAAAAAGTCGCTGTAACCCTATCAGTACCAGCGCAGTCGTAGCACACTGATGCTTACAAGAAGGTGGATGTTTACTGATTCATTGGGATATCACATGTGAAGTGCTTCCTTTTGGCGATACTTGGCAAATAAGACAACTACAGTGTTTAGCTGCGCGCAATGTTTGAAACGGTATTCTAACCCTAGCAATACCGTTTATTGGAGCTAATCATCATGATGATCTTTGCATTCGACATGTGCTATCCGCAAAGAATCCCTTTAGTTTTTTTTGTTTCTGCCTTTCCATGGGAATTCTCTCTTTCCTTTGTTAATTGGGAAATTAAAGCTTTTTCTACTGCGATCTGCAGTGTTGATCTATCTATTTGATCAACTTTGTCTCTGTCTTCGATAGCTCCAATTAAGACATGGTATTGCTAGAGTTAGAAGACCGTTTCAAACATTGGCTGCAGCTAAACACGTAGTTGTCGTATTTGCCAAGTATTTAGATGACCAGTATTTAGATGACTCAGATGGCACCAAGGTAAGATGACGCAGATTTTACAAATTTGAGAATGGACGGAACGATCGAGGGAGCGGAGCGACGCAGCGGGGAGGGTGTGAGTTAAGAAACTTATTTTAAGTATGGAAGGGTGGAAATCATGCAATTAGCACACTTTAAAGTGATTTTTTATTCATTATTGTACTGCCCAGAAAAATTACAAATTACTCTTCATTACAATAGAAATTGAGGTCAAGCTGCGAACTTTCTTCATAGCGTGCATGAAATAAACACACACACGCTGCCGCGCCACGCACAGAAAGAGATTGATAAGACGGCGTGCCGGGCAGAAGAGAGAGCACGTACGTACGTTATAGCCGGCAGTGGTCGAAATTAGGCGTTCCGATATCCGCAGGATAGTGATATTCCTTTTGTTGGATACCAGGTTCAAAATGCTTGCATGCATGGTATCCGCCCGCGGATAGTAAACAAAAAATCGTCAAAAATCTTGCAGCGGGCCGGCAGCGTCACTTAGCGTTATTACAGCAGGCATAGCCATATTTGCAAGTGCCAGCATAAATTTGATGGTAGTAATACATTGTATGCAAGCGAACGCACCAATGCGTCTAGACAATTACGCCTGTCTGCAGTGCTACTGTGGAGGCGTATGTAAAAGAAACGCGAGTGATGGGAGGAGTTTTGAAGGCAAACAATTGTCATATGATGAAATTTCTTCCTTTTTAGCTCATCTGACATAGTCAGATGCAGCTTGTAGAATCGCTTGATCGTCGCGTCCGTCCGTCCGTCGTCCGTCCGGTGCGTTCAACAGTTGGCAGAAATCTTAACCGCTCGACCGTACGGTCACGATATTCGAGCATGTGGGGGGGGGAGGGGTAAGCCGAAAACGAGTTGGATGTTGAAGCTGGGGGTCAAAGGTCAAGGTCAAGAGGTTGTAAAAGAAGGGGGAACATTCACTCCTTAACTTAAGGTATAGGGAGGAAATGGCAGAATTGCGGCACAAATCTAAACGGCTCGACCTAGGCTCGTGATAGTCGCGTGTATAGCATCATGGTAGGAAAACGCCATCACTGTGCCGAAATTGGAGGTCCCAGGTCAAGGTCAGTGGGCACAGGGCAGATTTTAGACATTTTCTGAGGAATGGTCTGACGGAGCGATTGAAAAACTTTTTTGTTTCAGCAGTGACCTAGCATTTTTATGGCTTTATTGAAAGGACCATGAAATTCCCTTCTGCTGACATGCGAAGAGTAAGTGTCGGATAACCTTTTGACCCTCAAGAGGAGGGTTAAACTTGGATTTGTTGACTGTCTGTTAGAAAGAATTTGACTGCCGGGTTTGCTAGTAGAATCTATACATGCCTGGATGTATGAGGCTACAATGTCACAGTGAAATTTCAAAAGCTAAATTTGGTTAAAGAAGGTGTATGTTCCTTAAATCGTATAATTTCTATGTCATTCTGTACTGTCAGTATGTTACATGTAACGTATGCCACTGCCAGTGGCTGCTGCCAGTGCATGTGTTGGGGCAGTTTTTGCCTGCGTTAATTGGTTGCAGGTGGCAGCTCTCTATTGCAATTTGCAGCCTGTAGGCTTGCGTAGGTAAAGTGGATGAGTGCTTACCTATTCTGTCTTGCAAAATAGTGTTGCTACTACTACGAATGATGGGAGCTTCCATCTTTAATCTGAAGACACTTAAACGTACCGCCATCTCGTGACAACTTTCATAACGATCCCAACGAACATTCTTTTGAGAAGGTTCCTGATACCATCCCTGTGCATTCCACTGTTTCGGCGTGTATGTGAACACATTTGGGACTAACAGGGTTTACTAGAATCCTCCACTCCACCACAGAGTCACCGCAGTAGACGTTAGATGAGCGCTGTCGCTATGCGGCACTTGTTTGATGTATTTTGTTAAAAATGTTAAAAATACGGGACAAACATGCGTCCCGGGAAGGGTCGGCACGCGGACGCGGACACATGGGCAAAATACCGAAACGAATCCCGTACAATACGGGACGTCTCGTCGCCCTGATCGGCCAGAGAACACTTTACATGTGATATTACCAAAATGAATCGGATAATACATCGCCTTCTTGTAACCATCAGTGTGCTACGATGCGCTCGTTACTTACGGGGTTACAGTGACTTTTTGAGACTAATGCAATAAAAATCATGAATTTGCCATCATTCTGCATCATTCCCACTGCGACTAAACAGTAAAATCCGCAATGGACCAAACAGGAAATTAAACGATCTGCGATCCTCAGTAAACCAACCGCTACCATCTGAGAAAGCATGTCATCTAAGGTTTTCCAAAGGCCCAGACATTTGTGAACATCGTTCCACTTGCTTTGGTGTGTAATTGCCGTGAGATCCATCGTGCGGCTATTGTACTATTTTTTTCTTATTTTTTTCTAGCGAGTTTTTTGTTTCAGGTTTTCCGTGTCTCAATTGTTGAGCATGTGCAGTGTAAACATGGTGGGTAAACAATCGTGGAATTTAGTTGATATGCTGTAAGAATTAGCAGATTATACCGTGAAGATACACTCTAGTTTAGAAGCAGGACAAGTGTAAGTTAATGTTCATATTTCAAACAAGGCAAGTCAAAGGTGGTAATAGAATACTTTTATTTGAGATATACAGAGTTATTCATCTAGATCTGCATAGGTGATAGGTTTTTTGTATGGAAGCGTGTCAGGCTGTATAAACAATCAGTCGCACAGGCTCGTCGGGCTACGTCTTCGATAGCAGTAAATACACAGTGTACTATTATATATATAATATAACATATAATCCGGAGTGAATAATAGAGATCTCTATATACATATAATAGCTATTATATTCACTCCTGATATAATCATATTCGCCCTATCACATATTCGTCCCAGTAGTCATAACTAATTACAAGCTCGGAGTAACTCGACAGGGAATCATGAAAAACCGTGACAGCTAGGACTAATTAAAATGAGCTGATTACAATCGTATGACAGTTTAGCAGAGGTTTCGTTAGGTGCTAGTGCACGGTGAATGCAGCTGCATATGTTGGCTTGTATGCAATGTTTTTTTATAGTTCATCCAGGCTATGAGACAAACAACAATACACAGCCTGACACATGATCATATATGTATACTCTCGATTTGAATTGGTTCATTTTGTTCTTCATTACAGGCAAGCCCAATGAAGAAACTGTTAAGGAATTTCAAGCAGCAATGCGCTCAGTCCCTTCACCAGGTAAAATTTCTATATTAGATTGTACCAAGAACTAATACTACACTATTGTTAGCTCTTGATTCTATATTTATTAGTTCAGTCGTTAAATGATTCCCTGGTAAATGGCAGAAACCAAACTTAGTATTTCAGGTCATTTGTTAGGTAAAATGGCATTTTGCCTTTTTGCTGCACATGAAATTCCACTGATTAGTGATTATCCCTATTAGGTTATGGTCTATATCATAACGGCTGTATTTGCATTAAATATTGCAGTGGTGGTTGTGACGGCAGCAGAGTATGACCAAAACGCAAAAAGTTGGTATAAGCGTGGTGCTACATGTGGATCGTTCAGTAGCATGTCTATGGCACCACCTATTGTGTCTTTCAATATACGACATCCCAGGTATAACGCTACCTCACAATATAATTAAAGGGACAGTAGCCTCTAGGATTTTACTGCATACAACTGTACTTACTGTATAACAAATCGTCTATACCCACACGTATTTGTTACCAGATACCTAATTTAATTGTTATAATTAATTACACATCAACGCTACGAAATTTGAACGGCACCATGACACCCGCGACCGTGCTGCCACCCCGAAAAAGTTGCGTACCTAAAAATTTATTTTGCACATTACAGACCGAGGGCTAATCACAAAAGTGCAATTATATTTATACCTAAATGCTATTTAACCGAACGATATTCATTTTAGGGCAAATTTATCCATATTATAACTGAGACTATATGTCGTTTGTAAGATATTACAATCCTTTTGCTTTTAAATGAATAAATAAGAAACACCCTCGGTCTGTACATAGCCCTTGGCTGGAAAGTGGTTTTGCGCAACTTATCAGATCGTGCGCTTTGGTTGGCACCACCGTCGTTGTAATCAAACTGTAGTCGTTGGTTTTAAAACATTTTTTAATAATATTTCTAATGGTGATTGAACCATGAAACTTTTTATGTAGCGTAATTTTAACCTAAATTAACTGAAAATAACCCTAGAACCTAGAGTAAATGATCCCTTTAAGATCTGCTGCAAAAGTAAATAACATGGAACTATTAATTATCATGTAATTTTTATTCCTGTTTTTCATTTTCATCATCAAATTACTTTATGTTGTATTCCTGATATTGCTGTTTTTTATAAATTTAGAAATCGGCAAGAATCATAGATTTTTATGGGATTCAGGGACACATTCGTGGATATTACGGGGAAAATATTGAATTAACAAAACAAAACATTAAATACTAACACTTTTCAATGTGTTGATTGTTGTAGTCGTTTCCACAACTTAGTGAAGAAAACACAGAAGTTCACCATAAATGTTTTAACAGAAGACCAAGTATGTATATTTTTAGCAATTTCTATTGCCGTTTTTGTGGTTTTGAGCGTCCGTCAACAGTTGGGCACAAATCTTAACCGCTTGACGTACGGTCACGATATTCAGCACATTGGGGGGGATCGTCAAAACGAGTTGGGATGTCGAAGCTGGGGGTCAAAGGTCAAAGGTCAAGAGGTGTAAAAGAAGGGGGAACATTTACTCCTTAACTTAAGGTATAGGAGGAAATGCGAGATTGCGGCACAAATCTAAATGGCTCGACCTAGGCTCGTGATAGTTGGTGTATAGCATATTTGTAGGAAAAGCCATCACTGTGCCGAAATTGGAGGTCACAGGTCAAAGGTCAATGGGCACAGGGCAGATTTTAGACATTTTCTGAGGACATGGGTCTGACGGAGCGATTGAAAAACTTTTTTGTTTCAGCGGTGACCTAGCATTTTTATGGCATTATTGAAAGCGACATGAAATCTTACTTTTTGCTGACATGCGAAGAGTAAGTGTCAGATAACCTTTTGACCCCTCAAGAGGAGGGTTAAACCTGGATTTGTTGACTGTCTGTTAGAAGAATTTGACTGCCGGGTTTGCTAGTAGAATCTATACATGCCTGAATGTATGAGGCTACAATGTCACAGTGAAATTTCAAAAGCTAAATTTTTGGCTTAAAGAAGGTGTATGTTCCTTAAATCGTATAATTTCTATGGCATTCTGTACTGTCAGTATGTTACATGTAACGTATGCCACTGCCAGTGGCTGCTGCCAGTGCATGTGTTGGTGCAGTTTTTGCCTGCGTTAATTGGTTACAGGTGGCCCAGCTCTCTATTGCAATTTTGCAGCCTGTAGGCTTGCGTACGGTAAATGGATGAGTGCTTACCTATTCTGCTCTTGCAAATAGTTGTTGCTACTACGTACGATGAGAGCTTCCATCTTTAATCTGAAGACACTTAAACATACGCGCCATCTCAGGGCAACTTTCATAACGATCCCAACGAACATTCCTTTGAGAAGGTTCCTGATACCATCCCTGTGCATTCCACTGTTTCGGCGTGTATGTGAACACATTTGGGACTAACAGGGTTTACTAGAATCCCACCACTCCACCACAGAGTCACCGCAGTAGACGTTAGATGAGCGCTGTCGCTCCGCGGCACTTGTTCTTATTCAAAGATATTCCCTCAGGAAAGGTTGGTGATATATAGCTGCCATATATTTCCTATACTAGCCTTTTCATATATCAGTAATTGTAGTTATTATATTGGTTAGGCCCATCTCAGCCTGCACTTTGCCAAGAGATGTGAAGAAAGTGAAGATCAGTTTGCTGATGTGCCCCATATGGTTGATGCAGAGGTAATTATATGTTTGTTTTGTGCTTGGAAAGCTTCTTCGTAAACCTATCAAGCAGACTTTCAACTGATTGTAACAACAATTTGACTTTTATTAGAGTTGGCTAAACTGTAATTTTATGTAGCGCTTTGTCGACGCTATGTTCATTGAAACTCTTGGTTATTTGTGCAATGTCTTGTAATTATGATTGCGACCAGGCATTACCATCATTAGGAATCTATTTTATTAATTTATTTCTACAGCATGTGTTCAAGATCCTTTCTTAAATCTCTTAGGGCAATGTTTTGCTGGACGACATGGTTGCTATAATACTCTGTACAGCACATGGGTTCCACACTGTTGGAGACCATTACCTGTGGCTGGGAAATGTGGCTCACGCATGGCACTACAAGGATGCTGAGCCCTTACTGTATTGGAGGCGGTAATACTCCAAAGAAAACAACTCATCTCATGTGCTTAAATGCGAAACTTCAAATGTTGATTTCGTTATATAAATGTATTGTCCATAGTAGAACGCTTCCTATTAATTAGTTGATTTGTTTTTAAAAGGACAAGTAGCTTTAGATGCCACGTGTCCTTTTAAGTCACAGTTTTTGGTGTCAGACCAGAATTTAGTCCCACATACATTGCTGAAAATACCCGGTAGGAATATGTGGACACAAATTTTGCAGTTGTGAGGCGTTTTTATGTGATAAGTACTGCCATTCATGCGCATTTATCCCTGATTACATCTGTTTGTTAGGAAATACAGGTCACTGGGTGATGAGACATTCATCAAGGCATTCGAGGAGCGAACACTACCATACGAATGGTGGAATCACGAGGCACATCTACGTATGGCATGGAACTATATTCTAGAATATGGCAAGGAAGATGCCATTCCTCTGGTGAAGTGAGTTTAAAGTCCATAACTTGAAAAAAAAACATGACATTTTGTGTTAAAACTGTGTTGACAGATTTAGATGTGAAGAGGAATAGTGTGTGAAAAGCACGGGTTTGAAAGGATGGTGTCAGGTATAAATTATCTTTGTTACTTTTTATAGAACTGGTATAAAGAATTACAATGAAAAGAACAAGGATAAGGTTAGTTTCAACATGTTGAGCAAATGTCCGTTTTGCAAGTTAAATATAATGTTAAATGTTATAGATTACTTCTAAACTGTATCCCAATGATTTCATGAAAGTCCCAGTTTAATTTATTCGTGCAAAGTATGCCCTACTGGAAATGGTATCCACATATATGATGTTAAAATGACTATCATGATGCTTAATAGATGATTATTATGAAATTAGATGATTGAATTTTAGCTGATTGAAATTAGATGATTATTATGAAATTAGATGATTAGAATGATGATTATTTAATTAAGGAAACTGATTGTCAGTTGTCACTTGCTAAAACGCTTGCTGTTAAATTTAGGTGAGGCATACTCATGGCTACCATGAGACTATCACCATGTTCTACTTGGAGATAATAAATCACAGCATTAGGCAACAGGAGTGTAGTAAGCAGACGTTTGAAGAGTTTATTGATGCTAACAAGGACCTTCTTGATAGACAGCTGCCCCTCAAGTACTATGCAGAAAACACTCTGTTCTCACCAGAGGCAAAGATAAAGTAAGAATTTGCACCTTGACTTTCTCAGTGGCGAAATGTCAATGAAAGAACATATAATTAATATCAGAAGTAGATAATAGGGAACTCTTCCTATTATCTACTTCTGATATATATATATATATATATATATATATATATATTGCATCTTGATACATGGTGTTACTTGATTATTAAATTGCATTTTATATTTGATGTTTTTTTTTATTGAAAACATTAAAATATAAGTACTTATATTTGTAAAGTTGAAGTAGACTTACAAATAAGATACTGATGTTTGTCTCTCTTATCTTTTAGATTTGTGGCTCCAGACAAGAAACCACTCCCCTCCTAACAGCTGTCCTCATTACAGAGGTACAGATAGATGTTCATTGTAGCAAAACACACACACTCCCAAAACACATTATACCCTATATACTCGTGGATATAGTGCTAACACATTGCAATTGCAATTTATCATTTTCTTTATATGCATTCATGAATTTTGGAATTCTGTAACCAGCGTCATGTTTCTCGTAACTGGTGCTATATAACAAGCTCAAAAAAATCTACTAGGGATAATTAAGAAACATGTTATATACCTACTTCTTGTAATGTATGCCGTTGTTCTAATGTTGAAATCGCAGCAATAAAAACATTTGGTGGAATTGAATGAAGTTTTTCTTATTTCAGAAAGTCGGTGACAAACGGGATCAAGGAAAGACCTTACTGTGAAATATGTGCTGCCCCTACAGTGGGGTGGGTATGTGCTGAGGTTTGCCAGTGTTGTATACCTAATTATATGTGGATTTACCTAGTAATTAAATTTGAGTCAAACGCTTAAGGTGATAATTCCGCACTGATATAGCATTGATAAGTTAATGTATGAAAGTTTATACCCTTGACTCTGTATCTGTGAGATTAATAGCATTCACTCGAGTAAAAGCACAAGTAGTTATGCATGTAACATAGTGGTGCCACCTGGTGGATAAAGTTATGATACAAGGGTACTTGTGTGTCTGTAATGTCTGCAAATTGTTATCTATGACGGTGCTAAGTAAAAGTGAAAAATGTAGAAATGTAAATATCTTTTGTGTTAGTATTCATGTTTGCATTTGTTATAGTTTCATGAATAAACAACTTGTTATAAAAATGCATGCGACTTCTAAACTCTCCTTATAAGATATAAAATAAATTTAAGTCCAAACTAAACAGTTTTTATGATGTACAGACAAACAACGCCTCGCCCACAATGTCAAAGAAACGCACACTCGCCTGCACAACAGTCGACTGATGGTTAGAGGAGCTACTGTGGATAGTGACACCCAGGAAGGACAGCTGAGTACCCAGCCTGGGGGCAAATCTGGCTCTTCATTCACACAAAAGAATCGCTTCACTGGTAAACACCAAATAAACCAACACAAAAAGCTCACCAGGTTTCCGAGGGAAACGAATCAGACACTAACAGTGAAATGTGGATAAATTCGGTGCAAGCTTTAGCAGAGTCTCTGCCTAAGGATATTCGTTGTCGAATGATTATGATTTGCACTTACCTTTTTAGTTGGCACTGGAGTGTCAGTTCATATACTCCCACGTCGTTACACTGTGCACAATGAGGTAAAGCCAACATTAAAAAACACTCAAACTGTGGAAAGGTGTAGAGTTAACATCGGTTTTTTTTGTCGCACATTGGTCCGCCACCCAAATAAATTGTAACAAATATTCAGAAGAATTCGTTTTAGTAAAAGACGATCTCACTCATCTGCTGGGTGTAAAGCCATTGGAATCGAATGTGCAGAAAAAGGCAAAATGTCATTTCACCTAACTAATGACCTGAAATACTAAGTTCCGTTTCTGCCCAAACCATGAAATCGCTCTTCGTTATACGTTAATAATTAGTTTGTGGAACTCGTGGCTCTAGTAACGGCTACCGATCGTAATGCCAACGTATTTGCAGGTAAACTAGGATATCTGCCAGCACCTGTGCAAATAGAAGTTGATCGAAGCGTGCAATCTGTCATAACACCTGCTCGGCGGAGACATCTTGGTATGTCTAAAGCTGAAAACTTAGATGCTCCGAATTGGTGATACGGGAGGCTGAGCTAACACGGCAGGTTAACCAGAGGTGGATAGCTGAAACGAAATCTGGGGACCGTAGAATTTTTCTCGATTCTCGTTAACTGAACCACGCAGTGAAATATTAACACTTCCAACTTGAGGGCATTATTCACAATTCTTGCTTAAGTAATAACAACTTGCCACGCATTCTCTAAATGAGACATGCATTTAGGTTGTTGGTATGGGGAATTAGAGGAGGAATCTAACCCGCTAATGATTAATGTCTAATGGCTAATTACTCCTGCGACTACGCGAGTGATTAAGCGCGTGCGTGCGTGCGTGCGTGCGTGCGTCTGTGACTGCGTGCACTCATGGGTGCAATTATGGGTGCAATTATGGGTGCAATCATGGGTGCAATCCTGCGTGACTTTGTGCTAGCGAGCGTTCCTGATTGCGTGTGTCCCTGACTGCACGAAGGTGTGGGCCTGTGCGTGCGTGCGTGCGTGCATCATACCACTCACGTCAAATCTCAGGTAGAGTAAGGTTAGACAAATAATGAATAGTGCATTGCGGTGGTGCTAGGATAAATAGTTGCTCAGCTCAAGCCGACTGAATACTTTACGTGAAGCAATGCAGCACGCTTAGATAGGTGGAAACTTCTAAGTCCGAGAAGAAAATCTTAGAGATGAGTAAAGATAAGAAGAGATGGATGAATAGTATCACAGATGAATCAAAGACCAGAAGCTTCACCGAAGCAACTCCACTACAATGCACAACACACCAAGATGTAGGCAGAACTATAGCATGAGAGACGGACACTGACAGCCACACCTCGCTCTACCGACCCATCGTAGGTCTAATAGCGACCTCTACCGACCCATCGTAGGTCTACTAGCGACCTTTACCGACCCATCGTAGGTCTACTAGCGACCTCTACCGACCCATCGTAGGTCTACTAGCGACCTTTACCGACCCATCGTAGGTCTACTAGCGACCTCTACCGACCCATCGTAGGTCTACTAGCGACCTTTACCGACCCATCGTAGGTCTACTAGCGACCTCTACCGACCCATCGTCACGCCCCACCGCACCATCTACTTCACGCCCCTGAGTGAGGATTTCCCGGGTTGCAACCCTGCA